AAATATGACAGGAAAGCAAAGAGTTTTAATTTGCAGCTGAAATATGTAGATGCATTCTGAAGAGGTCTCAAGAGCAGATGGCTTAGAGAAAGGTCACAAGTTTTCATCAAGATCTGGACTGCAAGAAGTAAAGGAAGGCATATTCTAATGTCATGCTTTGTCACATATGTTGCAACAAAACAGGATCAAGATGTTGAACACATTTGGAGTGTTTGCTTTATGTATAATATCAAGTTGATCCATTAGCAGTGATAGCCCCATGCTTCATTGTAATGCATTGTCATGAGCATATACACTGTCCTGCTTATGATTGTAGTAATATTTATGTAGTGAGTGAAGAGTTTTCAACTGCAACAAGGACACATGTGGGTGGGGGCTTAGGCCTAAGAGATTTGTTTGCTGGAACAGAGGGGGTGGTGTTGGCACTCACTATTTGTGAGAACAGAAAGAATATACAAAAACATATTGCAGCTGCTTCTATGTACTGCCCAAGAGATGTTACAGATATCAAGTAGGTGTTGGTTCAAGGTAAAAAAGAAAATTTTATAATAGAATTGCAAAGTGATTTTTTTTTTAAGGTTACTCAATGTATTAATTATTTTTTGCCTCTGGGGTTAAATTAACACTAGGTTCTAGGATTCTTTTTTAGTTTTTTCCCTGAATTTCTCCCCCATCCTCCCAGTAAATAAGCAGAGGTTTGTAACTGTAAAGTTGTGGACTGGAGAGCCCAAGTGATATTGTGCCTCAGTATGTGGACATCACTCACTCAGAAAATTTCTTTTTGGTAGAATTGTTCTTGTGCATTGCAACTACGTCAGGCTGTTGTGTCCAGTCTGTGTATATTCTCACCTGGTTGTGACAGTAGTGTCCAGTCTGTGTATATTCTCACCTGAAATAGTATTTACAACAGCAAAATACTGTGTAGTTGAATTTATAGCTGTATTGGGTGTTGTCAGTTTCCTTAGCTGTATATCCACAGTTAAATTTTTGTACTTTAAGTTTGTAAATTTGAGTGAGCTTTACTCCCTGAATAGCAGGTGGTACAATTACTAGTATAGCCATGGAAATGATCAAGTACTGGTTCTAAAAAAAATCCTCTGCCTTTTAGAGTCTTTGTGCTCTCAGTAACTCTTAACTTAATTAAAATACTGCTATCATAAAAATGTAAGTACCTTTTCAGTAATTATTTTTCAGTTATTACATACTTTAATCTCATATTTTGTTTTGTACTTTTCAAATGTATAAACTCCATGTGCTGAGCCCTGCATTTGTGGCTCTCTAGCATCACTGTCAATATCTAAGCTATTCTTATGTTTCTTACCTCACCAGCATCTCGTTGTTATATGCAGAACAGAAGTTGTGATGGTTCCAAAACCTGAATTTCTTGTTGAAGAGAGGTTGGTCCACACACATCTGGAAATACAGACTTAGAGTAAAACACCTTCTGGATTGTTAGCCAGATCTTCTTAGGCAGCACCTTGTGATAGTGGCTGAAACAACAGTTGAAATGTCCTGTGAAAGCATTATTTGAAAGGAGAACTGTAACTAAATACTTGGTGGTTTATTGAAGGAAAATATATCAATCAAGTTGCAAAGACTGGCCTAAAAAGATTACAAAATAATAAAAAATAGTAACAAAGCAGGATAGAGGGAAAAATGGGTAGAAGTGAATAACATTATTGAAAGACAAAGGTGTAAGAAGCACTGTGATGGTGAGCACATTCTGGAACAGATACTGGAAAGTTCGATGTTGCTTACTACCTTCACAGTTTGGCTGTTTTATTCTTTTGAATCTCCAACTTCCCATAATCAAATTTCTATGTTCTTGTAGGTGCAGAAATATGCTCCAGCCAGTGAGGAGCATCTGTCTCCAGAGCTACAGGAATGGACACCATATTCACCAAAACGTTCTGCTAGGCACAGCGATGGTTTTGTGCCTGCTGCCTTATATACTGGTGGCATGTCAGCAGGTGGGTGACAGGACTCATGACTACTTTCTAGGAATTCTCCAAGGGGTTTGTCCATATTGGACAAAATGTATTTCTGTGCTCTTGTCATAGTCTGAACATGTCTGCTCACCTTTTGGACTGTAAAGAAGTGAAACCTGTTTAAGAATTGCTAAGGAAACTGAACAAATTTTGGCTAAAGGATTTGTGTTTCATCAGTTTTTGTGCAGAAAATTTTTCAGTACATTAGTGGTAAACAAAGTGTAGCCTGTCCATTAGGGAGACAAGTAAGATTTCCAGTATTTTTGAAAGTGAACAGTAAATGGAGGCATCCCAGGCTTTAGCTGCTTAATTTCTGAAGGATTTCCAAGGTAAAACATGTAATATTCAGGAAGATCAGCTTATTAAGTTTTGCCTATTGGAAATCACATACTTTGGAGTATCTGAAGTTGAGTGCCCAAACTGGTTGTGATCTTAATCTAATTTATAGGTTAAATGTGAGTGTATTTGAGATACTAAGATGCTGAAGAGGGATTCACTTTTGCACAATAACTAAATCAAGTCAAACCTACATTGGGCAATACATGTTTATGTCTTGAAATGAAAACAACTTTTTCCTTACTGTATTCTATGCTAAGAGGAATTTTTAAGATAGATTTTGGCTGAGTACTGAAGGATGAGTGTACTTAAAAGAACAGCTTTACTAATAAGTTTCATAAATAAATGCTGAAATTCTAGAATTTAAAGTCTCACTAGCAGTAGGAGTTTTTGAGGCAGCAGAAGAGAGGAGCAAGAATAATTTTAGCTGTAGTCAGTTCAAGTGCTGAATCAAAACTTGCACGCTGCTCAGATGACTATTCAGAGAGAAATTCAGAATTTTTGTTGCTGTACAAAAACGTTGTGTCCTTGAAAACAGAGAGAATCTTTTGTTCGCCCCTGCATATTGAAATGATATGCTGTGAATGGCTTCATTTTTGGTAATATAATCCACTTTATTACTGACTCATTTCAAAATTATAAACCAGATTTTAAACATGGATGTGCTATTTACAAGGTGCCATATTGTGCTCAATAATATGTTTATACGTTAATGTTTTTATCATACATACAATTGTTATATTGCATAATTATAAAAATGTTTAGGTATATTTTAAATCTGTAGTTTATATGCTAGAGCTGTTGTTAATAATGTGTTTTTATCATCTGAAGCAGGGACGGTACCAAGAAGCTTAGCACCATGCCCTGCAGTGACTGCTGTCATGAGAAATCCAATCTATACTGCCTGGAGCCATAGAGTTCACACCAGCAATTGCCCATCAGTTGCCAGCCAAATATGTCATCAGCATCTGCATCCCAGGTGTTTAGAAATATGTATCTCCTTAAAATTTTGTTTTCAGTAGGATGAAATTGCTTCTGGTAGTTTGATACAGTGCAGAGTGAAACTCGCTGCTGTCATGTGTTGACCCGGGGTTCTCAAAATCATTATTGCATAAAAGTGATGTGCCAGTTGCTGTCATGTCTTTCAGTAATTGATGGATTAGGTTTCCCTCTTGCCCTACTGACTGATACTGACAAATAAATTAATTGTTTTAATTGACTAAAGAAATTCATTTTTTTAGTCAACTAATTTCTAATATTTTTTCTTGTCCTTGCCAAAAAAACCAGAGCCTTTTCCTTTTTTATATACTGCTTTAGACTATTTTTCCTCTGACTTCTCTTAATTCATAAAACGATGGGACAATGGGGAAGTGGGAAGGAGGGGAGTGTTCATTTTATTAATTAACTCGAAGCTACCCAAAATTTTTTGTTGCCCAGTTGCTATTTGCTGAGGTGTTTTGCCCAGTTCTAACTGTTGCCCTGTTCTCCTTTTCTTTTCATGTAGTTCCCAGCATCAGGGTCGCCTGAGTTTGGACCTAAGTCATAAACACTCCAATGACTACTCTGAAAATACTCGTACAAGAGCTTCTCATGGTTCAAATTCATTACCATCTAGTGCCAGACTTGGTAACGAGTTTTTTTTATTTATTTCCTTTGAGATTCCTATATATTGGAGACAAATAATAAATGGAAAATCCCTTAAATATCTGTGTTATGGGATTGTCATAGCTAGCAAAGCCTAAAGGCTTCCTGTGTTCCTTTGCTTCATTTTTTGTGGGTTTATGTGGTTTTTTTGTGGATTCCCTGGAAGTAGCTGTGTTTAATTGTTGTTTACAGTCTCTTCTGAAGTGCTGCGTGTGAGTTATTTTTCTTTCCGTGCCTGTTGCTTTTTGCAAGTACTCTTACAGAGTAGGGGGGCATGGCCGAAGGTTGAGGTTCAATGAGGTAGAGAGAAGAAAAGTAAAGGAGAGAGCCCCCTGAGCATAAAATAAAGATGACTAATGGCCTAATGGAAATTGTATTGTTGGAAGCTAAGTTATGCTTATGATTAGTTGATTAACATGTAAAATTGTTTGTGCCCATCCAAGTGGTACCAAAGCAAATGCATGCTTTGTAGCAATGACATTTTAACATTTTAGATTTATTTAAATTTTAATTATGTAATAACTGGGGGTTCGTGCATGTTTGTGTTCCTGTGTTCCATCCAGTTATTGGCAGTTACATCTGAATAGAATATGGCAGCTTTGTAATCACAGCAAAAAAGGGACTTAACACTCTGCAACCAGTATCAGTGATTAGGTATTCATCCTAGCAGAATGTAAGCAGATTATTTTAAATGCCTTTTGGAAAGCCCCATGGATTCTTAGTAAACAGAGAGGCTAGAGTCTCACTTGGACTTCGAGTTAAATTTCATTTGATAGGAAAATACTTTTTCATGCGAGATTGAACACTGCATATATACTGTATAGCTGCACTGTGCTTTGTTTATACTGACTGTGTAATCAAGATAATTTACTAGAAGTATGATATTCACAATATATGTGAGGGTATTTATCAAGGCTTTTGCCTTGATGATTCAAAGGCCATTTTAATGCTCATTGAAGAAGTAGATGTACTTTTTTTTTTAATGCAGTTGCTTTTTCTTTTGTCATTGTAATGTTTCCTTGTTTTAAAAATAGGTTCTTCGAGTAACTTGCAATACAGAACAGAACGAATTAAGATCCCTTTAACACCAAGATATCCAAGGTCCATGATGGGCTCTGACAGAGGTGAATTATTTCATAAGTAATTTTAATCATACTGTTTTCACTATTACCGATACAGAGCCTTAGCAGTTGTTAAATCAGCTTGTGCCCAAATCTAAATATGACAATTTTGTTAAGGTTACAAAATGCGTTTTGCCACAGTAATGTTAAAAAAGCCCAACTTTGTAATTAAAGTTGTTTTTTCTTTTAGTCGACTCTAGTATGTCACACTAGGTAAAAGTGCAGACAAAATGCAAGAAAAGCATTGCTGTATGTTTTATAGGGTTGGGTTTTTTTCTAGAATGGTGCCTTGAAAGTTTTAAATGGGATGACCTGCATTTTTTTCCATTCTTCAAGTGTATTATTTGCTCACTGGTTTATTGCTGATTGTAAATTATATTTTGAAATGCAGTGAAAATATTTCAGTGATTCACTCAAAATTGCTTGGTGGAGGATATTTAAAGATGTGAAACAAATAGTAGTTGGAGTACTTGTAGGCTTAAGACTTTCAATTTACAACTCTTCACTGCCATCATTGCTCAAATGTTCTGTAGCTTTCATGGCTGGTATGCAGTGCTTTTCCTAATGAGGCAAATACAATTCCTACAAATGGCTTTCATTTGTGATTAGTAATTTCAGGTTTATTTTCTCTAGTTTTTCAGAAGCAGCAAACCATGTCAGGGCACTTGTTCATTAGATTACTTAGGGAGGGTGCAACCACGGTAAAGATACAAACAAAGTCATGTGAAGCTTGTTTGAAATTTCAGTTTTCCAGTCTCTGTATATGATTCATGCTGGGGTTTTGTTGGGTTTTTTCAGGTGTTTAATAATATATCTCCTATGCAAAGGGAAGGGCTGCACATAAATATTTGATTTTAAAATAAACCTACATATTAAATTTTTATTTTACTTCTCCTTTCCTGCTTTTTATTATTTTCCTTTCATTTTGCATTGCCAGGATTTTTCAGACATGCTTATGGCATAGCTTGTCTGTAACCTTGTCTTCTTGTTGAGAGTGGCAGTAGTTGTATGTGCAGTTAGAGAGGACAGGACAGACTTAACATACAGTCATTAAGGACAGTAAGTTTGCACTGTCTGAAATGAGCTACCTGGTCTCCCTAAGCTCCTTGCATGACTAATAGCGTGCTAGTGACCAGCCAGTCCTTTTTCTTGTCTCAGATGTGCACGGTGACTTTTACTGCGTCTGTGTAGATCTCCAGACTGTGACAGATGCGTGATACTAAAACTCAACTGTTGTTTTTCCTTAGGCTCCTTGTCACACTCTGAATGTAGCAGTCCCAGCCTGATAACTCCTCCCCAGTCACCTCTTAACTTGGAAACGTCTTCCTTCACCAGCAGCCAGTCTCAGAACTCCCTTTCTACGTTACCTAGGATTTCCATTAGCCCAGTGTCTGTTGGAGAACGTAGAAAAGATAGGTAAGGTGCCCACGTCTTTTGCTTTTAATACAAATGTGTCTGAGGAAATTTTGTGCATTTGTTTATTAAGCTGAAGGAATGTGAACATTTAATTTAAATGACAACTATGTAGGTGCAGAGGTGCATCTCAAGCCCTGTTATTTGATGTTTTTATTTTGTTGTATGTAAGAGACCTTTGTGTGGATTTTTATAATTAAGTGATTTCATGAAGGTTTTGTTTCTTTCATGTTAGATTAATGACCACACCAAGTAAGAGCAGTCTAAATTGGCATACACCCCTTTGGCTGAACTACCTCACATGCTTGTTTTGTACTCTGGAAATCTAGACAAAATTAAGACCTAGTAACATCCATAGCTAAATACTAGGTGCCTTAGTATTGCAGAATATATGCTCTAACCACTGTGCCTTGATTCAGTTTAGCCAGATAACATGAAAGATTGAGGGCATAACTGTGAAGAACATACTCATACATACAGATGGAATTTTACTACTCTGTCTGATTCCTTTGGCTGTATCTGGACCACCACTAGTAATAGAATTGTGTGTGTAACTACTTGATGAATTTGAATCTGACATACCAGCTTTCTTAAAAACATGTGCTTTGTGTTTTAATGATGCTCTATCTTATGACTAATAGTTTCCAGACATGTTGCTTATGGTATCAGTCTTAGACATCTGATTTTATTTTATCATGATCTGGCTAGACTGAATATATTATAAAGTTTGCATGAATTCAAAGCATAGAACCGTAAGACACAAATTTGAATCAGACTTTGATTTACAATAAGGCAGCTGAATGCCATTCTGGCAGTATAAAGAAGCTATGATGTGTTGGAATAGATTACACTTAAGTGGACTTCAGGATGCCATTGTATGCTTAATTTATGTAAGAGCACTGGCCATAAAAATGTGAATGATAAAGCAATAAGGATATTCTGTGTTCTAACTTTTGTGGTAGTAATAAAAAGTTATTCATAAAATGTTATATGAAACTTTTTGTCTTGTTTGAAGAACTTGTGACTAAGTCATTGTGGTAATTCTAGAATGTCTTGTGTGCAAAGGACAATGTTACTTTGAAAGGGAATGTAAAGAGGTTTCTGTGAATTTTCATTCCTTACTTCAGTGTGACTTTTGTACTACGTGTACTCAATTTGTGTTCTCGTATAAATGTTCCTTTGTCACTTGCAAATTCAAAGTCAGAATGTCTTTTCCCTTTCACATGACTAGTGATGTTAATGTTCAGCTGAACAAGCTAGAGTCTTGACACCTCTATATCTGTGTCTTTGAGCACAAGATATGTCTTATGATCTCTGGGAAATGATTTCTGTTAATGGGTGAAGTACAGCCAGGTTCCAGCCCATCACTCTCGCCATGCTTGTGTATAAACCAAAGTCTGAATTGACTTTCTAAAAGAGTATAATTCTAAGGTTTGGTTCTAGATGTAAAAAAAACCCCCCAAAACAAAACAAAACCAAACAACCAAACAAAAAATCCCAGACAAAACCAAGCACTCTACCACCACCACCATCCCCCCCAAAAAAACCCAAACAAAAAAGCCCTAACAAACACAGAGTTTTTAATTTTAGTTTAGAAAAGTAGCTGATTTGAACCTATCCTAAGAAAATGTTTGAAGATGCCTAGATAGCCTTTTTAATGTTCTTTTGGTCTTAGAATCTTTCTGTTCCCCACAAAATGCAAATAAGTCACTTGGCCTTTCTCCAGATAAGCCTAATAATAATAGAGATGAAAAAATATATCAATGTTTCTGTTTGTTCTGTTGATCTTAGTTTAAATGAAAATTTAAAAAATTGATCAATTAAGTCTTTCTCCTCTAATCAGTATTAAGTGATTCTGGCAGGCAGTCTGAATATTACAGAAGAGTGTGCTTCACTTGAGTTTTAATAACACTGCTCATCAAGTAAGACACCTTTTTAATGTTAGTCTTTTTTACTTTATTATTAATTCTCTACTACATGCATAACTAGTTCTCTCATTTTGTATTTGCTAGCATTCTAAAATCAGATTATGTGAAATTTGTATGGATTTGATTCCTTCTTATTCCAATCCAAAAACAAATTAAAAATGCATGTGGTAGATGGAAAAGCAGATAGGTACAATAAATAAAGTTCAGAAAGATGTAATTTTAGTTTTTAATGAGGTAGTATGCCTCATAATGAGTGGGGAAAAAAGTAAAAATAAAGTTCAGGAATTTTAGTTTTTTTAGAGCTAGCACAGTTTACTTAAGTTAGGCTACATACAGAAAACTGAGTTTCAGTAATAAGTAAATCTTGCTTTCACTACGTTGGTGGTCAAGCTGAGGGCAATACCTCTAACAGTGATGTTGATGTTTTAAGATTACTGTGTTTGAGTTGCCTTCATGCCAGCAGACAGTTTTTATCTTTCATGCATTAATAAGCTGGCAAACTATCATGCCCCTGCTGCAGAAGGCTACCTGTTCCCTCTGCCCCCAGCCCCAAATCCTACTCTTCCCAAAAATACCTTTCCTCAACCTGGCTCACTTCAGTGATAGTGATGTCTGGTTAGCTCTTCTGGTCTCTGACCAGCAGAATAAAATAATTTAAGCAGCTGGCACAATTTATAGAATGTCTATATGGTATAATGAAATGTTAGGAAAGAAAACATTGAAATTAATGCATGTCAAATGCCATATAGTGCTATTTAAATAAAAAATGCACCACACCTGACACCCAAACTGTTTCATTCACAGTGAGCTTAACTGTTAACATCTAGTGATGTCTCTTGCTGTGTAGATATTATTGAATTTATAGTAGTATAAACCAGGACTTTTTAGAAGGCTGTACTGTTTGTTTATACACAGCATGAGTGGACCAACCTTGTTTGTATGGGTGGATACATCTTAAATATGGGGGGAGGAAAGGGGAATGTATCAGGGTCTTCTTTTGAATAAGCTATTTTCTTGTTATTCTTACTAGTGTCTTACTACTGTTTGTCTTTTTCTAAGTGTTCTTGTCTTCTCAAATCTTCTACATCTTTCAGATATCTGTTCCGTAATAGGTCTTTTCTGAGAATCCCTGTGGCTCCTAGGCCTAGGTTCTCATCACTAAGGAGTTTGAGGTTGGCCTGATCTAAGGTTGTCCTTCTCGAGCAGTATTGCGCACTCTGTGCTTTTTTACATGTTTGGATAATTGCCCTGAGGAGAATTTGCATGGTAATTGTAATGCTACCATGCAAACTGCTGTCTTAATGGCTTGAGTTTGCAACTGCTTAATTTTCATTACTAATTTATGTTTCCTAGCCTACAAATATGAAATATGATATTTGTGCATTGTTGTCCTTTGGTTTACCACCTTATTATTCATTATGTTTATTTTCACTGGCAATAAAGACTCCCAGCATTTGTATTTGTAACATACCTTTCTGGAATATGGTTTGTAAATAACAGTGGTTCAATTACTTTTGTATAATTTGCATCTGGAAGTGTCTTTCCTATCAAAGTCATGACCATACTATTTATAATTCATATTTGCCATAATTTATAGAGCAGTCATGTACCTGGTATACATTTACTTTTGCCACTGTACATTGCATGGTATTAAAGGAATGCATTTAAGAGAGTTAACAGTAGTGGGTTTTTTAAGTAACTGTTTAAAGCTATTTTATTATTAGAATTCAGACAGGCATAAAGTATTGCATGTAACTTTGACATTGTGATGGTTCAAGTGCATTTTTTTCCAAATCAGTTTTAACTATCTCCTCTAAAAGGCCCTACATGGAAGAACCACGTCATGTTAAAGTGCAGAAGGGTTCTGAGCCACTAGGGATTTCCATTGTGAGCGGAGAAAACGGTGGAATATTTGTCTCTAAAGTAACAGGTGGGAGCATTGCCCATCAAGCTGGCCTTGAGTATGGTGATCAGTTACTAGAGGTAATTGTTTGCTTACTATTCCTGTGGCTTAATGAATCAGTTTGTATGACTGCAGCCATAACTGCTTTCCCCAAGAGAGTATCTTGTGAAAGCTTGTGTGCTGTGAGATGGAGCAAACAGTACTCTGTGTTACAGTATTCCATAGTTCTGATTGTGTTGGCTTTTTGTCAGGCTTTGTAATAAAGTTGATGTCTTGTGATGGTAGATCTGCAATGCATCTTATATAGACATAATTAAGATATTCCATAGTTCTGATTGTTGTGGCTTTTTGTCAGGCTTTGTAATAAAATTGATGTCTTGTGATGGTAGATCTACAATGCATCTTATATAGACATAATTAAGTTTTAAGCTAGCTAGTTTCAGTAATTTAAACAGTATAGTCCCAACACCATACTCTGCCTGGTAAGGTGAGTAAATGTGTAAGCAGCTGACTTTTACTGAGTTTCATGCTGCTGTGCCATATCCTTAATTGACATACCTGGTTGAAAAAATTTCTCAGGTAGGCTCAGTCATGTTTTTGCCTAGAGTATTAGATAAACATATGGAATAGCATTTTGTAAAGTATAGAACTGCTTTATATTTGTTAGCTCATGTTAGAGCATCTTCTGTTGCATAGTGTGTTTATGATACTGAAATAGACCTGAAAAGTTCCAAATTTATCTTGAAATTCTGAATTTATTCAAACTAGTGATCTGAACCAACTTGTATTTAATCAGTGGTAGCAAATCATAGCACAGCTCAGAATACATATGTCTTTTAATAGTGAAAGGATTGTTAAACTCATGGTCAGGTTACCAAACATTTTAAAATTGTGGTGATTCCTTCCAAGGAGTAAACCTTAGTAATCATGGCATAACAATATTTTAATCCTCCTATTTACTCCGGAGAAAATATGTCAGCATTTAGATATTAAGCTAATTAGAACACTGAAACAACGATTTTGGTAGTTTCCATTTGAAAATTTGACATCCTGGTTTGTGCCATTTTTCCATAGTTCAATGGAATAAATTTGAGAAATGCAACAGAGCAACAGGCTCGACTAATCATTGGACAGCAGTGTGACACTATTACTATTCTGGCCCAGTATAACCCACATATGTATCAGCTTGGCAATCATTCACGATCAAGGTAAGGCTGACTAGGCTC